TGTATGTGGCTGGTGCCTTAGCCGCTTGAGCCACAGGCACCGAGCCTATTATGCACCATTGTAATGTATCTTTGCAGATTTTAAATGTTTGCAGGGCAAATAGTCACCAGTATAGTGTGGCACTAGCCTATGAATTCTTTGCAATACAAGGCCATAGTCTAATGTCTAATATAAAATAGTTACGCAATAAAAGTTCGTTAAAGAAATGACTTAATTTGTGCTAGAAATGTCTGCATTTGTAATGGCTCAACGGTTTTAAGATACTGAAATTTAATGATTTGAAGGGAGAAGTGTTGATAGAGAAGAAAATGTTTTCCCTCTGCTCCTTGACCAAGCTTTGATCATTTTATATGCCTTCCTGTTTCACTTAGGGCCCTTAGTCACAAGCGACAGAAATGGATTCTAGATGATAGACACCAAAAAAGGATGAACTGAAATTGTATTAAGTAGTGCACAGAATAGATGGGAAATCTAAAGAAGGAAGCTCAAGGCAATAGGTGAGACCAAAGGTGAGCTACTAGGCTGAAAGAATTCTCTAAAATGCCATCTCTTCAAAATTCTCGGCAGGTGCATGTGCCTAATTAAGCCCAGACAGCATGCCATGCCGTACCTTCTGGGGAAGCAAATGTCTAGCATTTTGCAGAGTCCATGATGGGATAGGGCTCTGTCTGTCACCTTGGCTCGTGCTATAGGAATTCCCCTCAAATGGGAAGGCGTTCACAAGCTGGGCAGTCAAAAGAAAAAAGCAAGAAGAGAAAAAGAGCCTGATGGACTTTCTAACTGGCCAAATCCCCAGTATCTAGCATTTTTTTGAATTTCCTCTCTCATCTGACTTTTTGCCATACCTGCTTTGACAATCCTAAATACAACCATTGCTTATTGTGAACCTGAAGCAGTTAAAAACCACCGAAGAAACAGATTAACAAACTCTGGTATATGTATACCGTGGAATATTACTCAGCCATAAACAAGATGGAGACTTTACATCTTACGTATTAAACTGGATGGAGTTGAAACACATTCTTCTTAGTAAAGTATCACAAGAATGGAAAAATAAATATCCAATGTACTCAATACCATTATGAAGCTAGCAGACCATCTAATACATACCCACCTAAGAGAAAAACTTAATTCAATTTGAGTTGGGGAAGAGAATGAGAGAGGGGAGGGGACTGGTGTGTTTCCCCTTAATGGGCACACTGTAAAGGTATATGGCACACCTCTTAGGTGTGGAACATAACTACAAGAAGGGCTCTACCTTATAAATGCAAACATTGCAACCTAGTTTTTTATACCCTCACGTTAACCTGAAATAGAAAATATAAATAAAAACCACAGAAGAAATACACAGAATTTGCCATGAATCTTTGGTCTGCCTGTTCCTAGTACATTCGATTAATGCAATGGTTCCAAACACATCTCTAAGCCCCACCTCACTTTGTAGAAATTTAATTCCGTATAGGTATTCAGGAGATTCTGATGCAGACTTCTGATAGGAACCATGGTCAGTTTTTCTCATTTCCCACAGTTTCTTTACAAACCATTTGTTATTTTTCTGAGGCCCCACTTCCACCCTGACCCCATCAGTCTCAACCAATGACCCATCCTTCACCTGGGAAAACCAGACCACTAGATGCAAACTCACTCAACTTTTCTTTCCCCGGACTACCACTCAAAATTTCTTCTTATTTTACCCATTCCATCCTCCTGCCCTGCTTCATTTTTCCTTTTTTCCATGGCTAACCTGGCCAGCAGTGCTAACCTGGAGGCCCTCTGGTTTAATCTTTTTTTACACTCACCTTCTCTTTTGACTGTATCCTTGGCCTTGCTTCCCTGCTGTCTAATTCCCTTTGACCCCAAAACATTCAAATCTTCCCTGACTTAAAACCTTTCAACTATACCTGAATTTCCATGAGCTACCTCTCTCTTCCCTCACCTTTTCTTTTCACATCCGAAGATCTGAAAGCAGCAGTTTGTACTCAGGGGTGCTTTTCTCCCACTCCTCACCTTTTCCTCAATTCTCCGAAGTGTTTCCAGACTCTCCCAATGGACACTCGTAGCTTCCTGGTGCTGGAGCCAATGGCTGGTCTTAGTCCACATCCCCTTTGACCTCTCAGGAGCCTGCCACCCGTTAGAAACCTCTGTTTTCCTCTTACAGTTTTCAGTGCAAACATCTCCTGATTTCTCCTTCTGTTCGTTCTCAGATGACACTTTATCAGTCTCCTTTGCTGGGCTCCTCTCTTCTTGCTCTACATTCTCATCTTGGCTACTCTCATTTCGTGAGCTATGACTGTGAAGTAGATGACATTCAAAGGTATGTCCCCAACCTTGATTCTTCTATTCTAAAGTTCAGATCTTTCCAACCAATCACTTCCAAAGGGTGTCCAGTGCTCTCCCCCTTCCCCATCCCCCTTCCATCACTCCTTTTAAAAACATCTTGTGGTTAAATATACAAAACATCAAATTTACCATTTCAACCACTTTCAAGCGTACAGTGTGGTGACATTAAATATATTCACATTATTGTAATATCTGTATAGCTGGTGGAAGGGTGTGGGGGGCATAATTTCTGGTCCCCTTGTTTATTATTGAGGTCTGCATCACCTCCGTGGCACTGACCAAGCTTGGTGCTTGGTGGTTAAGAACGTGGGCTCTGGAGAGTCTTAGCTGAGTTTCAGCTTCACCTCTATAACCCTGGCAGAACCCCTCAACCTATCTCTGGCCTCCCTGTCCTCATCTTATATTCTTTACTTTTCTTGGGTACACAGTCACTCTAAGGAAGTAGTAACAGCTTTATTGACTTGCAAGCAAACCTCCCTCAAATGACTTGTCTTGCTGGGGGCGGTGCTAGAAATGAAGAGAAAATGACACGTTTGAAGAAAGTGATGGGTCTCAGCCAGAAAGTAGAGGTTTCTGATGTAGGGAAGTGGGATGTTGAATCTGGCATTGGTTTGGATTTACCAAACAAACCGCTCCACCCACACCTGTTAGGAAAAAGAAGGGAAAACAATCAATCAGGAAAACGATTTCGGCGAGCGCATCCACAGCTCAGAGTGGTAATTGCTCCTCAAGTGACAGGTAAAAGCTCCAAGAAAATTGAAGGGGGGGGGCCGGCTGAATTGAAAAAATTTACTCAGGAAACAGGTGATTTGGGGGGAATTTGATGTGTATGTATTTTAAAATGCTAGTAAAACTTGCATTTAGAGAATCATCCCAGATCCCAAGAGGCCACCCTAGTTTTTGTCCGGTGTTCATTTTATGGAGGAAGGCTGGGAATCCAGGAAGTCCCTCTGTACGTTAAGAGACGTTTTGTTTGTTTTTGGCATTTATTTCTTTTTGGACTGGGTCATAGCCATCTCTCACGTCCAGCCCAGAGCCTGTCACAGAAGATCCACTTTAGTACCGCATGGTATCATATTTAGTAAAGAATAAAGTATCTTAGTGACCAGACCCTTGTTTTCCTGTCAGAGACAGTGAAGACCCTCAAAGGGTTTCAGCCCAGAGCCACAGGATAGAAAGAGCAGATGTCTGGAATGCCCTTTACAAAGCACCTTTCTATACTTTATCTCATCCATCTCTAAGGATACCTCTGTGAGGTAACTGTTGTGATCCTCCAGATTTTTTTGGATGAGGAAACTGAGGTTCAGAGTGGTTACGTGAGTTACCCAAGGTTTCACAGACGAAAGACTGTCAAGTCCAGCCAAGCTGAGCACAGGACTACAAACTCTGGGCTGCCTTTTCAAGCCACATTTGGCCTCACCACAAGGGTGGCCTGTTTGGAGATGCTCTGCCCCAGGCTGGCTTGATGCTGCGGGCCATGTGGGCGAAGCAGCCCTTCCCTACTGGACATGTCCCCAAGTGTCTGGCGGGAGCTAGAAGGCACCCAGAAGACCCGGTGGCCACAGACCCAGTTAGGGCACGTGCTCGGGTCCTGCATTCCACCAGACGCCCCTCCGCTGGCATCTGATCCGCAGAGGCGCCACCTCCACCTCGCTCCACTTCGACCCCAGCGATCCCATGTGCCCCGGGCGCGCCAGCCCTGCGCCCGCGCCCCAGGTTCCCACTCGCGCGCGCGCCGCCCGCCCGCGCTTCAGGCGCCCACCGCGGGGGCCCTCTGGGTGTTTCCTGCCCTCCAGGAGCCGCCCCGAGCCGCGCCGCGGGTCCCCGACAGCCCAGGGGCGGAGCGAGGCTCCGAGACGTCAGGGCGGGAGCGAGAGCGGGGCGAGCGCGCCCTCCCGGCGGTTGCCCGCGGCCGGCGTTCTCGGCGACCGTGAGGTGCAGGCGGCGGCCGCGCTGGGGCGCAGCCAGGCGGCCGGGCGGGCGGGGGCCAGAGGCTGAGTCGGGCCGCCCGCCGTGCGCAGAGCTCTGCCCGCTGCCCCGGAGCGGGTCCCCAGACGCCCCTCGGCTCTCCCCGGCGTCTAGCAGAGCCCCTCTGGGGTGCCCATCAATTTCTTTGGGTGACTACAGCCTGTGTTTTGTTTTTCTTTCCTTTTTCCCTGCCTGTGTGCCCTTCTCCAGGATGGCAGAGGCGGAATTGCACAAGGAAAGGCTGCAAGCCATAGCAGTAAGTCCACTTTCATTTTATTTTCTTGCTCTATTGTCTGGGGTGGAAGGGGACCCCGAGGGTTTCGGGGTGAGCGGCATTCCAGCACAGTAGCCGCAGGGCGTGCGTTTCGGGGTTGAGAGTCTGTCAGGGCTCAGCTAGCTGCCTTCTCTTTTCCAAGTCTGTGGCTAAGAAACCCCCAGGGCGCGCTTAGGACTGGGGATTTGACTGTGGGAGGTTGGCTTAGAAATAAGATGCTTGCTGCTGGGCTTTGGGGCAAGACTAAAACAGAGTCATGGGGTGGGGGCGACTCCGGGAATATTAACCACCTAGTGTTTAGGAATAAGCTGACTTCGTATGCTGGAGACGAGAGCGCAGCGAGCCCAACTGTGGCTGCCGTCCTCTCTGCGGAAGGCTGTTAAGTGAAAAACCAGGAGTCAGCTCCTCAGCCAGCCACGCGGTAGAACCTCCTTCCAGAGACCCAGAATGTTCGTTTCCTCTTCTCTGTTTGATGGTGACAAGGGCATTGGTGCAAGTCACCACCCAGGAGGGGTCTGGGGATTCTTACAACTACTGGGTCCAGGGAAAAATATTCCAAAAGAGCCTCCTTCTTATGGGTGGATTATCTGAAAACCTATTTTCAGCATACAAAGGAGCAACCAGTTTTGGCAGAGTTCACATGCACTTTCAGAAAAGTGTACCCATGTGCATCTTGGGTATAAAAAAGAACTCTCCGAGACTGCCGAGATCTGAGCCATCTTGCCAGTGTTGCCAATGATCCACAGATGTGGTATTTTTACTGGAGTCACCACAGCTGGATTATATATTTCCTTTGTGGATGAGGGAATGATTACTGCCGGTATATGAAATAATACCAATTAGAAGAGAAGGTCTGTTAACATGTTGGCTTGAAAGAATCTCCAGACATTTGACTACCAACATGCCTTTCTTTTTTTTTTTCTTTTTGGTCCAGGAGTTCCCTGGAAACACATTATAAATTTGTTGGTGAAATAGTGTGTAATGTTTTGGAAGCAAAGTGTATTAAAGTGTTTTCGAAAGCCTTTTTGGACAGATTTTTCATCGGGAAAAAGCACACAAATTCTTCACGGGGAAAATGCAAAAAGTACTTTTTGTAAAGAGGCATTTGCTGTGGTCTCCAAGGCCCCAAGACCCTCTTTTTTAAACTCCTCAAATCTGAAGCATCTTGGAGACTTTAACACTGAAGAGAGTCAGGTTTGCTGGCAATGTTGCAAAGCTATGGTTTGTCTATTAGGCAATCTTTGAACTGGGTGCTCAGAACTCAGGATGGTTGGGTTTTTTTTTTTTTTCTTTTCTTTCCCTTCCCCCTGTGCATGTGTATTTTGGTGGTTCATGAATGGTTTGTCAAGTTGGTGGCAAGGCAGCGTGGCCAGTATGTCATGAACTTGATAAGAATGGAGATATTGAGTTATCGGTACCATGTAGCTGGTGGGTGTTTTGTGTAAGTGGGATAATAGGCTGCTTTAACTGTTGACCAAGTGGCTGCTCCCACGAGCGCTCAGTTACTCACATCGGCTGCTGCCGAGGGTTTCCAACAGTTGTCACATTTTCTCCCTTTGCACGGTCAGCTTTACTGGATGTCTGAGGAACAGCTGAACCCCGTGAAAGGACTTGCTTTCCAAACATGGAGCCAGTAGCAGCTACCAGGGAGGCCACCCCTTTCCAAGTACGGTTGAGTAATCCCAGCAGAGGCCAAGCAGATTTTCAAGAAAGATCCAGGCAGTCTTTGGGAATGCTCTTGAGTATGTGAGAAGAATAAACACAGATATTCACTCCTGCCTATTCGGTTGTGGGGTTGAGTTTGTCCTGTGTGGCTGGGGAGCTGTCGATGATTTTTATGAATGTGTCAGCATCGGTGCCCATTTACAGTCGGCTTTCTATATCTGTGGGTTCTATATCCACGGATTCAACCACCCTGAATGGAAAATACTGGGAGAAAAAACAGTGATGGCTGTGTCTACTGAATATGTACGTTTTTCTTGTTATTATTCCCTAAATGATGTAGTATAACCCACTATTTACATAGCATTTACATTGTGTTAGGTATTGTAAATAATCTGGAGGTGATTTGAGGTACATGGGAGGATATGTGTAGGTTATATGCAAATACTATACCACCTTTTTTATTTAAAGAGGATCAGGATCTATGTTGCTCAGGTTGGTCTCAAACTCCTGGCCTCAAGTGATCTCTCACCTTGGCCTCCCAGAGTGTTAGGATTATAGGCATGAGCCACCATGCCTGGCCCACTCTGCCATTTTATGTGAAGAACATAAGCATCCTCTGATTTTGGTATCCAAGGGGCATCCTGAAACCAATTCCTAATTGTACTGAGGGACCACTGTGTTGTTGGGGCTTTTTCTAACAGTGATACCCCTATGTGTGTGGCCATATCAGTAAATGATTTTGTGCCATCCTTTGGTCTAGCGTATTCTCTCCAAATGTGGCAAACCCTGCCTTTCTTTGCCACTTTCCTAGAGGACTCAGGGGACCCTGAGGAGCTCACAAGCCTGGCACTCTTGACATCCCTGGAAGTGTGCAGGGGGTGGGGGTGGGAGAGAATGAGTTCTCTCATCTTTGTCTCCTTGGGCTGCTCTCCCAGAGGTGGAGCAGGAAGACTGAGACTCCAGTCTGCAGGGACTTGGGCAATCTCTTGGGCTGGTTGTAAAGTTTCATTTGATGGGGGAAGCACCTGGCATACAGGTGTTAAGGCAGAGCCCTTCATTCCTGTCTACCCTGCTGCCTTCCTCGTCCTGACATGTGGGGGGCAGAGTGGAAGGACTGGAAGGAACATCTCTGCAGTAGAAAGAGTAGGAACAGCTGATTTTATCCTTCCCTTCAACTCTGAAGGCCCAGGCCGCACCCAGCATCGATTCTTCTACCCACTTCCGATAGAGGCAGGGATTGTCATTTGAGGATTCATTCGTCTAGTGGCTCAGCAGGCATTTACGGAGTTCTTCCTCAGGGAAAGTACTGGCAACACTGAAAAGTCAGTGTCCCCAAGTTTCCACCACCAGAGGGATGATTTCACCTTTGGCACACTTAATTTTTGAAAGGACAGACGTCCTGTGATCTAAGACATTTGTCACTTGATCATCTGTGGGCTTTTCCCCTAAAGGGAAGTACACACTTAGAAACTACGATGCTTTTGAATCTTTCAGCTGAGTCTAGAGACTAATCCATGAGAGAAGATGACTCTCATTTTTTTTCTTGCCCAGAGAAGGCAGGCAGGTTCATCTTTGACCACGATTGCTGCCACCACGTGATGCTTTCACCTGGAGGAAGACTCCCCAGTCTGTAAATTTAGTACATAGCAAAATGCCTCTGCAACAGAAGGATGTGAATGCTAATCTGTGGAGTAATAATGATACTTGCTATTTACTGAACATTGTACATTCATCAGTGTGCTGAATGCAGTACTTTTTGTTTTTCACCTAAACTATAAAGTATTGTTACTGCCCAGTGCAAGTACTATAAAAGTGAGCACCCAGGTGGAGCACACGAAATAAACCAACCTCGAGGAGTTGTGAAAACACTTCCCCAAAGAGGAGACATTTGAGTAAGTTCCGAAGATGGGGTAAAGCAAAATGTAAAATAACATCATAGCCTTCCCAACTATCAGAAGGTATGTACTGGTTGTATGTTTATCATTTATTTGGAACAGTTCGGAAGAGAAAGCCAAAAGCCTGAAGTTAAGTCAGTAGCTAAAGGCACAAAATTGATAATGAGACTGAAATGCTTTTTAACAAGTATTATCTCCTTTAATCTGGATAGCAAGTTTATGGGGTAGGCACTACTATATTATTCTTATTTTATGGATGAACATTAGAACTGGCCCAACATTAAACAGATGGTGTCAAAGCCAAGATTTGAACATCCCCATCAGCCTCAATTTTGACTGTTGCCCTGGACTCCCACCCCAGGTGGTGACAGCATCTCACACTTTTGCTACAAGAGCTCTGCAGGTGGTTCCAGCAGCCTCATGAGAGCCCATAGGGAGCAGCAGACTCATTCCACAGCAGTGGAAAAGCTCAAGACAAACCAGGTGGCCCCCATCCATTTAAGAGCCTTCCAAGCCTGGGTTTAGTACATGGAAACACCCAACGTAAACTTTAATTGAGAAAGTAGCATTCCCCTGGAGGAGAAGTTGTTGCGTCTCAGTGGAAACCAACTTTGGGGGAGGGTGTTATGTCTGCACATCCAGGAGGAAGATAATCTTCCTTGGGCATGAGTAAAAATAACTAAATGTTATAGAGATCATCTTGGGCAAAAGCCCTGAGAGCCATGTGGGCAAGGCCTCAGGCCAGCACCAGGGTGTGTGTATTATATGTGCTAAAATATGAAATGCTCATTTAACCCATGCTTGTTCTCTAGAGAATTTTGTCTTGTAATAAGAACCCACTCTGCTCAATAATAAAAATGATCTTTTGCATTTGTGTAGTGTTTTACCATTTATGAAAACCTTGCTATCCTAATTCTGAGGTGTGCAGGGAGGGTCTCAGGTGAGCTTGCACTGTGAGAGGCAGAAGGGCTATATTAAGTCCCAGTCTCTCCTGACTCCTAATTCCTTGTGCTGGTGGCACATCCAGCCTTGGAGGGACGCTCTAATGTGGGCTGGAACTGCCACAGGGGTCCTACGGAGCTAAAATTCTTTGGCTGGGAGGAGAGAGATGAGCTTGGCGGTATGTGGGCTTGCATGTGCCTCTGAGGACTCTGCCCTTTGTGAGATCTCACTTTGGACCTCTCTCCTTCACGAAACTCTCATGCAGAGGGTGCGGCTGGTGGGTCCGTGGCTGTCAGCTGATCCGGTTCTCTGCCCTGTGTAGTCTTGGGTACAGGTAGTTGGCTTAGCCTGGCTGCACCCTGAGCTTACAGAGTAGTATTTATTGGCTTTTCCTTGGGTTCATCTTTGCATGCTTCTTTTTGGCCTGGAGCATTAAGGCCTTGAGTACCAGGGTTGGAGGGTTTGGCCAAGGTCTAAGGA